GAAAACCCATATCTTGAGATCTGCTTAACCGATTTCAACCAAATTCGGTACGTAACGTTCTTTTCATGTTTCTATGTCATAGTGCGAAAATGGGCGAAATCGGATTACAACCACGCCTATTTTCCATATGACACCATTTTAAATACCACTTGATTCTTTCACTTTCCACTATGCAAATCAGGCAACAATGACTGTGTCGGGATAAAACTTTGTGTGAATAATGCGATTAAAGTATGCCACCTTGTGGCCAAAAATTGTCTAAATCGAACCAAAACTGTTTAAGCCCCTAAGTACTAAATATGTGGACCCCAGTGCCTATAGTTGACCTTCTACCGAAAATATCAGTCAATCCACAAAGAAATCTCAAACGAGTATACCATTTGACTTTGCGAGAGTATAAAATGTTCGGTTACATCCGAACTTAGCCCTTCCTTACTTGTTGTTAACTATTTTATTTCCTAAATCTTCTTTGACCACTTGTTTATTATACCTAGGTTTTAGATTACTTTGATACTGGTTCTTGTTCTTCTCAAATATTATTTGGCAAATCATCGTGCTTAACTTTATTATAAAGAACTTCGAAAGGTTTTCGAGTGTGTTGTTTGATTATTGGATTGGACAGCCCTAATTATCACTTCTAAATTGATATTTATATTATTGTAGAGTGTACCCTTTCTATTTGTCCATTAATTGTTGAATATTTAGGGTCGCATAGTTTAATTTGTATTTTCATTCGCTCTGCACAAGATTTGAATTGTGCTGAACTAAATCCCGGTTCATTATCACAAGTTATTCTTTTAACTTCTGTGAATCTTTGTATTGCTTCCAATATTTTATCCTGTAATTAAGTTTTATCGTCGATTTGTTTCATTAAAATAAATTTTGGGTACACATCTATTAGTGTTAAGAATTTAATGTTTAGCGCAAAAAATATATCAATATGAATATGTTCATCCTTTTTGTTAGGACTCGATCCCGCGGCAATTGGAATTATTTTGGGGTGTCTGTCATATTTATTTTTATTACAGATATCGCAATTTCTAACAAATTGCTTAAATTTTTTTTCATTTCAGGCCAGTAATAGTTTTTAAAAATTGGTTAACATTTTTCTTATAATTTCTATGTGCTCTCGTGTGAGTTTGTCTCACAATCTTCTTTTGGTCATCCTCGTTAATTACATCAATTGCCATTATATCTGTATGAAAAATTTTGCTTGCTATACTGTTTCTTAAAATTTGCTCTACTTCAATAAGTCTTCAATGTATTCCTGTTAGCAAGTTCTTATTCAATTGGTCTGTTATAATTACTTTTAAAAACTCCAAGTATTTATATTTTATATGATGAAACGAGTTAAAGCTTGTCGATATAAAATGATAATTTGTTTTATCCCTATTTAATATTATATTATTTGTTGGGGAAAGGAATTTAGGGGCTTATTGATGTTTATAATGTGAAAAATATCTAGGCTTTCTACTGAATGTACTGCATCTGTTAAGTCGTCTTTTCCTTTTTATACTCTCGTAACCTGTTGCTACAGAGTATAATAGTTTTGTTCAATTAACGGTTGTTTGCATCACCTAAAACTAATCGAGTTAGATATAGGGTTTTATAAATATAAATAATCAGGATGAAGAGACGAGTTGAAATCCGGGTGACTGTCTATCCGTCCGTCCGTGCAAGCAAAACGCCATTAATCAAAAACCAATAAATTGTCATAACTAAGCTCCTCAAGAAGATCCAAGACTGTTGTTTGGTACAAAGGATCACATTAGGGAGGGGCATTTGTCATAACTAAGGGACAATTGTCATAACTAAGCTGTGAAATAAGATACAAGACTGTTGTTTGGTACACAGGGTCACATTAGGGAGGGGCATCTGCAGTTACATTTTTTTTTTAAAGTGGGCGTGGTCCCGTGGTTAAATTTTATCTTAGGGATGGTATGAGATGACTTTATAGGAACCGCGTTTAAAATTAGTCAGTGAGCGTGGCACCGCCGTGCAAGCTGTAACTTGAGTAAAAATTGAGATATCTTCATGAAACTTGGTACACATGTTTCTTGGTACCGTAAGACGGTTAGTATTGCCACGCCCACAAAACGCCATTAATCAAAAACAAATAAATTTTCATAACTAAGCTCCGCAATAAGCTACAAGACTGTTATTTGGTACAAAGGATCACATTAGGGAGGGGCATCTGCAGTTAAAGAAATTTTTAAAAAGTGGGCGTGGTCCCACCCCTAATAAGATTAATATGAATATCTCCTAAACCGCAAAAGTTATAATAACCAAATTCACTGGGAGCAAATGTTTTTAGCATCTCTATTGACAATGTGAAAATGGGTGAAATCGGGTGACAAGCCCGCCCACTCTCCATATAACGGAACTGTTAAAAAATTCTAAAAGCGCGATAAACCAAGCACTAAACACGCCAGAGACATTAAATTTTATCTCTGGGATGGTATGAGATGACTTTATAGGAACTGCGTTCAAAATTAGTCAGTGAGCGTGGCACCGCCGTGCAAGCTGTAACTTGAATAAAAATTGAGATATCTTCATGAAACTTGGTACACATGTTTCTTGGTACCGTAAGACGGTTGGTATTGCCACGCCCACAAAACGCCATTAATCAAAAACAAATAAATTTTCATAACTAAGCTCCGCAATAAGCTACAAGACTGTTATTTGGTACAAAGGATCACATTAGGGAGGGGCATCTGCGGTTAAAGAAATTTTTAAAAAGTGGGCGTGGTCCCACCCCTAATAAGATTAATATGAATATCTCCTAAACCGCAAAAGTTATAATAACCAAATTCACTGGGAGCAAATGTTTTTAGCATCTCTATTGACAATGTGAAAATGGGTGAAATCGGGTGACAAGCCCGCCCACTCTCCATATAACGGAACTGTTAAACAATACTAAAAGTGCGATAAGCCAAGCACTAAACACGCCAGAGACATTAAATTTTATCTCTGGGATGGTATGAGATGACTTTATAGGAATCGCGTTCAAAATTAGTCAGTGGGCGTGACACCGCCCACTTTTAGGTGAAAACCTATATCTTGGGATCTGCTTAACCGATTTCAACCAAATTCGATGCATAATGTTCTTTTTATATTTCTATGTTATAGTGCGAAAATGGGTGAAATCGGACTACAACCACGCATCTACAACAATTCCATCTGATTCTTTCACTTTCCACTATGCATATCAAGCAACAATGATTATATCGGAGTAAAACTTTGCGTGAATAATACGTTTAAAGTATGCCACCTTGTGACCAAAAATTCTCTAAATCGAACCAAAACTGTTTAATCTCCTAAGTACTAAATATGTAGACCCCAGTGCCTATAGTTGACCTTCTACCGAAAATATCAGTCAATCCACAAAGAAATCTCAAACGAGTATACCATTTGACTTTGCGAGAGTGTTCGGTTACATCCGAACCTAGCCCTTCCTTACTTGTTTATTTAACATCTTGTAATCGAGAACCATTCTCATTTTGCGAGTACCGTTTTCATTGGTTCCTTTCTTTGGAACCACCAATATAAGGGAATTGTAAGGACTCCCGCTTTAACTTATAATATTTTGTTTTAACTATTTTTCTATTTCGATTAACGAATTTGTTGACTGATAGTGGGTAAGGATATTGCTTACTCCAGATAGGACTGTCCGTAACAGTCCTGATTTCTGCATTTACGTCTGTTCTGAATGGTAATGAGGTATATATTTTCCGATGTTCCTTAAAAATTATACTTTTTATTTCTTTAATTATCTGCTCATTGTTATCCTGCAAATTATTTATCTGACCTAGCTCATTTTCGTTAAAGGTATAGAATTTTTCTCTTTTCCCGTTTATTAGAAGTGTATTATTTTCAAAATTTAGTTGTAGTTTCGATTTACTTAGCAAATTTAGCCCTATTAGAATATCAGTTTCTAAATTTCAATCTCATAAAATCTCGTTAAGTGGTTAAAAATGTATGCATTATAACAATGGGTAATTGCTGTGTAACCATTTTTTGTTCTTACGTGCTTCGCGATTTCTAATAACTCTCTACTGGGTGAAATATTTGGTTTACAGAAGCAATTTGTTGCTCCTGTGTCTATCAATACTTTTAATTTTATGTCTGTGCCTCGGATTTCCTTGAATATGTAAGGTAAGGGGTTGCTTCGCCTAAAAAATCATTATCTTGAATATTATTAATTTTTTATTGTTTAGTCTGGAGTTGATGACTATTGCTTGACCCCAAAGTTCTTTTCTGATTTCGTACAAGTGTATTATAGCTATTTTGGAAGTTAGGTATATATGTAAGTAGTCTGCCTCGATTGAGCGTTGGTTTGTTGCCTATATTGGGTTGAAATATCTACCTGCATTGGTCCTAGTTTAGGTTGGGTTCGCCATTCAAAATTTCTATAACTGCTGTTCTGTTGGACGGGACGCTGGTTAAAGCGTAACCTATTCGAGTGTTGATTGTAATTATTTTGTTTAGGAATATTCCTAATACCATTGTAAGCATTTCTATACCTATTAATTTGATTTCTGGTTTGACTGATTTCACTAGAGAATTGGAATCTGATTCGATTAGATTCTATTTCTTAGGCTTTAGTAAATGCACTGGGTAAATCTTTTGGCATCCTAAATCCTAAGCGTATGACTGGTTAAGAGGACATTGGCTTCTTGTATAATTTTATTTCTAAGAATAGTTAGTGCACTGAAATATTTCCTACTTCTTTTAATGTATACTAAAGTAGTATTATGGGCTGCTTCCCTCCAGCTAACATAACTCTTTTCCCTAAATTCCGGTAGAGATTTGATAGTATCTAAACTCTCCCTACATTGAATCGTTTCATTAATGGTTTGCATTTCAAATTCCGTAAATTGCTTTAATTCCACTCTTAAATCTTTCGTTTGCGCTGGAATGAGTTGCATTACCATTTCACTATTTTCTGTCCTTTTGTCACTTATATTTTATTAAAACTTGTCACTTTACAATTTATTTACTTTTTTCTCCTTTGTCCTTTGGAGGTCCTTGATGTCCAGATACCTTGAACACTTGATTGATGGGTATCGCATTGTTGCTGAATATTCTGCTCAATTAAAGTTGGTTGATTGTGGCAGAGGAATAATGTAAATTTGCACTTATTGCTTATTTCTCCTTATAGATTGCAAGGATACTTTTTAGCCCAATATTCACTTTTAAATTGACTGTGTCCTCGCTCGGGCGCCAATTAATAAAATTACACTTTACCGTTTTGGTTGAACTCCAAATTGAGTCTGCCTTTATTTTACATATTCATTCTTAGCTTAAACTACGCTGTTGATTGCTGCTGTAGCCAAAGATTTTTCTGCAGATGAGTACGTGATTTTAATGTAAACCAAATGCCCTTCCTTTAATGTGTCAGCTATTTTGGTAGAAACCCGTTCCTTAACTTAACAGCTGTATGCTAAAGTTGCCTGATCCGAAAATTTTCTTTATAGAAAATAAGTGGCAACACTTATTATCTGACAACATGGAACCCATTTGTTATTGTTCATATTACGAAAATTGTGTAAAAATTAAATGCTTATTTAAAGCAAATACTTAAATATTTAATATAAAATAAATATGTAGAAACACTGAAGTGAAAAGTTAGTGTATAATAAGTGCATAATATAAAAGAAAATATAACCATAAATCGAGAAATTGTAAAATGAAATTTGTGAAATTTTCAACTTAAAATGCAAATATCTCGAAAACTATAAGTTTTCGGCGGCAATAATTATATATATTCGTGATCTGGAGAATCTCCTCTATCCAACCATATCCCTCTTAACCCTGAAATCGTGGGATGCTAAACTAAAGTTTTCCCAGCATAGCGACGTGTTGGGTGGAACAAATTTGTTTTGTAGGTTTGTGAAATTCAATAATGTATAAATCAGTTCATACTTTTACATAGACTTTCAGTTAAAAACCATTTTTCAGATTACATCAGAAACATCTAATTCAAACATTAATTTATTTATCGATCTAATTAATAAAAAAAACGGTATTTTTATATTATTAAGTTTATGAACATGCAGTTTCAATTTCTTCTTTACTGCAATTTTTATCCACTTCTTCATGTGGGTCCTTTCTGTTTTTTATTTCTTCCGCATGGCAACATCGTCTCGATATGTTCTAAATTCTTTGCTTAAATTGCTTTCTACTGAGCGAGCAGAAATTGCAAATCCGCAAGAGGGCTTTCTATATTTATAACCTTCAGTGTCGATGGTGCCATTGATATCTGGAAGAAACAAGTTCCTTTCATACATTAATTGATTGATTTTAAACCACATGGAGGCGATCAAAACGCAATAAAATTTTCTCATATATTTCAAAATTCCATCAACGTCCCGACAAGTTTCTGTCGTAAGGTTGAGTTTTTTTACTTTTTTCAAAGCGTTTATCAATCCGGGAAAATGTTTCGAAAATGGCTTGACAGCCGCGATTCTGGCAGACCACCTTGAGGCAGTGAAGTTAATTGGGTATTTTTGATTTCAGAATTTTCCAACGTTATGTGCTGTTACTGAAAATATAGAAAAAATTTTGAACGACAGTTATTGCTCGAGGACAGCATACAGCTAATTGACTCCAGCCGTTCAGCGTGTGGGCACCACAGGGCGAAAGAACTGCATACTATTTTTACGTTAGATGTAATTTAGCGTTCCTTCATATTTAGCGCTCATATTACTACCATTATCGTAACCCTTTCCACGGTAATACAAAAGCGAGAAAACATTCCTCTATGAAGTAGATTTTTTCTCAGCATCAAGGCGTATATAAGGTCAAATAAATTTAATTTACTACGGGCCCTTCGAGACCTTCGGGCCTGGGGTCTTTATTGGGTTGATACAGATAATTCAAGAAATGCTTTCTACATTCCCTGCATTAAGAAGCTTAATTACATTAATGCTAAGAATAATCACCATTTTTAAGAACGAAAAAACTTAAGAAAAAACTTAAACATAAGTATGCCTATTCTTACAGGAAAAATGATTAAACAACATCGACTTGTTGAATTCTCGCCACAAACAAATGACATGCCCAATGAAAAATTTTTCGTTAGAAAAGCTGAAATTCACATTCGGATTGATAAATTAGCAACAGGGTGCAACGATAATACGAATAGAAAAAATCGTGGATGTGGTGGAAATAAAACGAAACCAAAACTTTGGATATTTCAAGTTAAGGAAAACAATACAACTAAGAAGGTAAAATAAATGGATGTAAATTAAAGTACATCTGCCTATGTATGTTCTTATGTATAAATTTAGTTAAAAAAGTATACAGTATCTCCACGAAGTTACCAGTTTTCTCACTACTAATATAAAAAAATTACAAAATTTTCGTGTAATGTTTAACATTACAGCAATAAAATTACAAACAATCTTAACTTGCAAAGATAAATTATGATATATAGACGTAATAAAAGCTTAAGGTAAGGGTATAATCTGGGGTAAAATTTGGTTTAATGGAGAAAGTAGATAAAATTTATTGAAGAACTACTCCATATGCTACACATAATGATTTTCGATATTCTGTCGAATATATCGATCAAAATGTGCTAACACCTTCCCAGGCTTTGCGTCTCGTAATTCACCAGGGTATACAATGTTCGGCTCCACCCGAACTTAACGCTTCCTTGATCTGAGTTTAGATGTAAAAACTTTTGTTGTTCATTACCGGTGACTTTCTTTTGGTGTTAACCCTTCGTTCATACAGCCATCTCGTGTTGGGAAAATTTGCTGCTCTTCCTCTTCATATAATTTTCTCAAGATTTTGCACATTCCATTTAAGCGGTACACAAAATATAGTATATTTCATTAGCTAATTTTTATCCTTATTCGCCATTTTCTAAAATATTTCGATTATATTATGCATATTTATATACAAGTTAATATATATAGTGTATAACATAAAAATATATATGATTGGTATGTATGATAAAATTAATATTTCTGGACGTTCTAATGTAAATATTAATTTGTACTTTTTTGCTCTACAGTGTTTATACATATATTAAAATTTTGATTATAACTAAAAATATATTCTTACATTTATTTTAAAGAAATGCGATAAGTCTCCTCAACTCTGTGTTACTTACGATGTGGATATAATGAACTTAGGCTGGCAAAAATTCGATATAACACTAACTGTCCGGGACTGGTATAGACGAGCACCGACGGAAAAATTGCGACTTCTTATTGATTGTACAGGTTGTGGCAAGCATTATATTTTACATTTGTTTAATCATCCGATGGAGAATTCGAAGCAGAAACTTTTATATCCGCAGCGAGAAAAACGATACCGTTCTTTGAACCGTAATGATCTTGTAGTACAGTGGACACAACAGCCCTTGAACCATAATATTATTTCAGAAAAAGAGATTGAGGTTAAAGGACGAGTAGAACAGCGTCCAAAAGCAAAACATTCTTTGTTATGTAATCATATTTTTGACTGCAATACTAAGAAGAACTTCACTTCAAAAGTAGACAACTATAAATTGAATAATGTTCGAACCAAATTACTTCGGCCGTATGCATTATTAGGATATTCGGATCAGTCTAACCGACTGCAACCACAAGTTACTCAGGCCCGAGACAAACCGAACGTTAATTTACAACCGCAAAAGTATATGCGTTTAAAAAGTCAAATCTCATCAGAATTAAGTCCTAATCGACCATTCTTGGTATTACGTACAGAAACGAGACGTCTTCGACGTGTACGACGGCGTGCAATTGATTGTGTTGGTGCAATGCATGGCCAATGTTGCAAGGAATCGTTCTATGTGTCTTTCAAGGCATTGGGTTGGGACGACTGGATCATTGCTCCACGTGGCTACTTTGCTAATTACTGTCGAGGAGATTGTACAGGTCCCTTTCGCACTCCTGATACATTTCAAACTTTTCACGCTCATTTTATAGAAGAATATAGAAAAATGGGGCTCCTGAATGGTATGCAGCCCTGTTGCGCACCAGTAAAATTTTCAAGCATGTCTCTCATATACTATGGTGACGATGGCATTATTAAAAGGGATCTTCCAAAGATGGTAGTAGATGAATGTGGTTGTCCATGAATATATGCATTGTAGCGCACGTGCATTCGAATAAAATACTTATGTATGTACTCGTATAATAGATTGGTTGTGTTGAATCAACTTAATTTAAAAATATGAATATAAATATACACAGCAAGACATATTATTACAAATTTGAATTCGTATGCACTTTTATTCTAAGACAAAGCTGAATCGACGAAAGTATAATCCAAACCCTACAACATTGCATTTCAAGCTTTTTCACGCTTTTCTATAATACAATAAACACACATAACTATGAAAGTATGGATAGGATTAAAAATAAATTTGAAACAAGTCTGTATGAAGCAATTTCTCATGCTGCTTTTGTACTAAACTTATATATATATATATGAATGAATGCTTAAGTGCAGAATATAATACACAATAAAAATATAAGGATCTATAAGTAGTTTTGTGTACATACGCAAATAATTTTGTTCGATAGTCAACAATGAGAGCTTTCGTGAAAGTAAATACATTTTCATTAAAAAATCGTTGATTGGTGCCTTCGATTATTAGTTACAAAAACATCTTTAAACATGATCATATTTAACACATATATAATATGTAAATCGTTTTTGCACATAGCCATATGTAAATAATCAGTATTAATAAAAGAAAAAAATTCATGGTGGCTAGTGTAAATATAAGAAAACGCTGTTGGGTCTCAGTTAATACAGCAGCTATTCCTCTGTACTAATTTATTTAATAATGTCTTAATGGCTGATATCGGTAAATATTAAGCCATGGTTGACAGCCACACTCTTTTGACTATGACATACATTTTCAAATTCTCGGGGTAGTGTATATAAATTACAATTTCACACTTCTTCGGATTGTCATTAATTTTTCATAAATATGTGGGGATGCAAATAATATCATAGAACCTATAATGTACGCTTTCCTTTAAAAATGAAATAGAATTATATATACGTTAATTACAATATAATCGAAAATTACTAAGTAGCAAAATAAAGATATATAAAATAGCTCAATTAATACTGTAAAACTTCCGAAATAGAATTATGTACAAGATCAATTTTAACGAAATCTTATTGTAGATGGCACTGTACAACTCATAAAGTTTATGATATTATTTATATTTAAACTTTCTTATCGCTCATAATTCATGTATCGTTGTTTTAAAATACAAAAATACAATGATTATGTATACCTATACAACCATAAGTTGCATAAAACAGTTGCTGTACCGCTCCGAACAAAGCTGAACAAATTGAAATATGTATGAATAAACAGACAACATTAAAAAATATTATATTATTAAACAAGACAAAAAATATTCATGTACACAGTTCATATCAGATATGATTGACTAATGGATAGTTTATATGTATATACATATATGCATCTTCCTAAAATCTCCAATAATATTTCTCAATTTTATAATATTAATTTATTTGTATGTATTCTTTTTTATTGCGCATTCGCAATAACAACAGAATTCAAATGTTAACAATCAGAAATGCATCACCACTATTTATATTTAGATAATGCACCTGGCTCAGGGAGAAAGTAGATTAAAGGCATTTATGTAAATAAAAGCAAAACGTTGTCCTTTGAAAAACTACATACATATACATAGATACGTATTTGCAAAAGTTGAGCACACCTCTAATAAATAAAAACATATGCATTGTACATACATACATATATACCCTGTTATCAAAACTAGAACTGAAAATTAACTGTTCCTGAAAATATCAGACTAGTGTCAGTTATCCTACGGCCCATTAATGGCTTCATTCATTCGCTATTTTTCCCGATCGTTGCAAATGTGAGTTTGTCCAATTAAAATATTCTAACATATATTTAACTAAGATGTTTTTTTCGAATTTATTTTCTTTTGTATAATTTTTTGGAACCTTAACTAGAGGTTAACTTCTATAATTTATCATAAATGTTTGTCTGTTTTGAACTAGTATCAGGTTGATATATTTCAAGATCTGTCAATTAATATTTCGATAAGACAGTCACCTAGCTGACGAGTTGTAAGTATGCAACAGTAAACTAGTCTGCAGGGTTCATATGTACATATGTGCACACATGCATATTTTAAAATACAAGTACGTTTTGTAAAATAATTAAAATTACTGCTACGTACACTATTTGTAAATAAAATTAATTTAGGCTTTTCACAAAGTAGTTAGTAATGAAAAGACATGATTCAATTGTACTTAAATTACACAATACATCTAAATATTTAAAATATTATATAATCTATGTTAAAATAGTTGTTTTTTTAATCCTTTATATATGCGAGTATATTATTTCGAGGACGCTTGCAATACATCTTCGTTTTGACTTCATTATTTCAGAAATATTACAATGAAGTGCCATTACAACAATATTACAAATGAAATTTTTTGATTCTCAATTTAATTTTTACCGTCAAAAAACTTAGAGGGTTGTTGAAAATAACTTAATATATTGTTGAGGACAGTATTGAAAAGCAAAAGTACCTGAAGGGTAAATCATTAGACACCCTCAATATTTGTGAGGCAATCATTTTTTGTTTTCGTTCGAGGGTGGGAACGTAATTATTGGATCGTTCACTAAGTAATTTCGTTTTTTTTTAGTGCAACTTAAACACGATTTTTTATTGTGTAAAATATTTTATGAAAATATATATTTCGTTGAAACTACGTATTTCTCTACGATTTGCATCGACCAACTACTTTATTTCAAAGTTGTCCATCCTTAAGATCAAAATCGTCGAAACGAAATGTTGCAAATCAATTTTGGCATTGGCGTTCGGTCAACACATCTTCTTTACTCATTACAGATTTTCCGCTTTGCTTCAACTGTACTTTTCCCTTTTGATAGTAGATAGTTTTCGATCTTATATCTTCGATAGGGTCGCAAACAAAAACTATTCCAAAAAATTTTAGAAAATTTTATACAAACAAGCCTTTCTATATCAGCTGTTCAAATATATAACGGTAAAGTGGTTAAGTCTGAAGTTGGCTGCGAAAAAATTCAATAAGATAAGCTGTTGTCATCAAACGATATTACTTAATAAATGACCCAATACATACATGCACTTTGTATTAGTTTTCCAAGGGGCCAAATTTTTAACTTATCATCGCGATGTTCATCATAGTGGGTTTGAAAAACTATGTAATACTACCATAGATCAATAGGCGATAACATTAGGTACATTCATTCTTTGCATTCTTAACACGTATAATTGTTTTAACATAACGAAGCAGTTTTTAATTCATTTTAACAATATCTTTATGTTACCATTTCCCCAGATCAGAGATATTAACTTCTCAGTATATATGGTGAAAAGATATTCCTTAGTTTCTTGAGACGATTCGAATTCCGATCAACTCATGCATATACCATCACAAGTACATTTTAGCCCCTAAATCGTTATAAGAAACCATCAGGACAATTTATAAATTCGCACTATAGGCATTAAAAGTGGCAACTTACCGCAGAAGATTGTTCTTGAATGAAACTTCTTTATACAAATATCTGCTTGCAAATACGTCGACGTCGGCGTCGGCAGGCTACGCAAGACAATTCTATTAGTTTATAATTATCATAACATTTTATATACATTATAACAATAGAATTAGTTCACGAATACCATAATCGTCTTTGAAAGCATCACCCAATAGGGATGTAATATTTAATAAAAAGCCGAAAACTATAATATATTTCTGTTCGATATCCTCATACAATACAACAACACTTATTCAATTAATATTATTATCGTACACCTTCCGGAATTAACTAGCTAATTCAACTGAAACAAATTTTCTACATAAAATAATTTCATGCAATGTTTTGAAATCATTGATGTTTATATGCACATAGTCTCATATTGTAGATTTATTTAATAAAAAAATAACAATACTACGTAGAGTTATGTTAACGGTGTATGGGTAATATTTTGAGTCGTTCAATCCGTAGAACTGACTTTAATATCATTTTTGTGCAATTGCAGACGTGCAGCTAGGCAAGAGCTACAATTGCGGTATTTACATAGAGCGAATAGCCAGTGCGGAATAAAAAGCATACTTAGTCACTTAGCTTTACACTTTTTGCTAGATAATAACACTAACATCTGTATATATAGAAGACATACAAAATACCTACATACATGAATAAATATACCATAACAATATTTTATAATTAATAACTACACTACTACAATTTCTATAAATATAACTTAACTGGAACTAATTAAATTAATGTAACTATTCTGTTCAATAATAAGTATTTATGAATATATATACACCTGATCAAGTATCTTACACGCAATTGCACATTCTGTAAACTTCATTGCCTAAATCCTAATCATATTAATAAGTACTCTGCTAAGCTCCAATTAAATAATGTAATAAACAACAATATTAACATAAGCATATAAAAGTACAGCTTTTTTCAAAGGCAAAGACCATACCTCACAGAAAAATCCAGAATGATTAAATTCAGTACTTTAGCAATTAACAAAACTAGTGTAAGTATAAAAGTAAGTGCTTAAGATAAGCTAGAATATATGTAAGGTTAGTTTTTCCATGCAACTTCGTCCTTAAACAAAACTTAAACAGACCTGAAACCAATTAGCAGATTTACAATTTGGTAGCCATTTTTTGTAAAGCTCGAGTTAAGCTATTAATTTGATTTTTCATAATATAAATTCCTCCCTTTTTCCTTAAGCTTTGAATAACTTATGTCCAGTTATAGTAAAATTGTAAGCAAGCTTCAGTTGACAACAACATAATATTTTAAATGGAGATAAGGGGAGAGGTGACACTGAAAAATAATCCTTACTATGTATTAATGAGAGAGATTTTGACATACTAATAAAACTATTATACCCTTATTTTAGTTACTTACAACGTTGCTTTGAAAGAAAAAAAAGAAATATATTCATAATTAAAAGTTAAAAACTGAAAGTCAAACCATTTTGTTTAATACCCAGAGCCCTGTGTGAGATAGTAAATAGATCGAATTGAAAATATGAAATCATTTTTTCGATACGCATCAACGAAATAAATCATTTAATGTTATTAAATTTTTGTAAAAGAATTGATGAAAATACTCGAAAACAATCATTAGAAATTACTGTTATATAAAATTAAATACGTAAATATCACAATATGATAACAAGGTCTTGCACTTGCAATATAACACGATTGCACGAAAAGCAAAAATCCTTTAACAAAATATGCAAGAGTACGAGCACACCTAATTGCAGAAACAGAAATATCAGCAAAATGTATGCGTATATTTATTATGACAGCTAGCACAGGGTTGCAATTATTTTGCTACGCCTCATTTCACGAAAATTAACAAGGGTTTCGGTATAGCAAATATTGCAGCCATTCCATATTTAGTTCTGCATGTGTTTTGTTGTTTTGCCATATTGTGCACGGATTGGTAAACTTTGCAATCCGTGCAAGGGTTTTGCAAGAGCAAGATAATCCCCCTAAATGTTTTTGTACCTGGAATATAAATTTTCCTTGGTCAAAATATACATTCATACAAACTAAATTATATACATATACATATATAAACTTACTATATTAGGCAATATAAACTTATATATAGTATATGTATATATTGTAGATTTGTTCTTTCAAAAGTTTATCCCACTCCGCGGTATGGAGCGAATTTTGAATATGCAAGTACTCTTGGATTCAGAACCTGCTTGTACCTTCTGCTCAAATATAAACGAGACTGGCTCAAACAACAAAAACGGTTAATTATTCTTCAATATTTATTTTATCCCCTTCAAAATAGTCACCATTAGAGGCGATACACATATGCCACCTTTTTTTCCAATCTTCCTAACACTTCTGGTAGGCCGCTTTAGGTATGGCTTTCAGTTCCTTCTTCGAATTCTCTTTTATGACTTCAATCGACTGAAAATGCTTTCCACGAAGCGGCAATTTGAGTTTAGGGAAAAGAAAAAAGTCACACGGTGCCATGTCGGGTGAATACGGTGCTTGCGGAACAATATTTACGTTGTTTTTGGTCAAATAATCGCGTACAAGACGAGACGTATGAGCTGGATTTTGGAACAAGTCGAGCAGACACACGTCTCATGCCCAAAACATCGTGAATAACGCTATGAGCGGATCCATTTGATATGTTGAGCTCACTAGCTATCTCTCTTTCAGTCACACGACGATTTTCCAACACAATGTTCTTTACTTTTTCGACGTTTTCTATGTTTATTGACGTTGCTGGACGACGATCATGGGGCAAGTTCTCCAGCGATGTACGGCCGTCCTTGAACGACTTATACCAATCAAAAATACGTGCACGTGATAGGCAAGAGTCCCCATATGCCTTCTGCAACATTTTAATTGCGTCCGTCGCACTTATTCCATTGGAATAACAAAATTTTCAAACAAACACTTTTTGCTCAACGTTAATTTCCATAGTAAAATTCGAAAAACACACTCGAGGTTGACTTGTTTATAGTGCCTTAAAAAAAAAACTATGTGACAGATCGCGCTCAAATTTGACATGTAAACATATAACAGTCCTGCCAACCTAAGCAAAAAAAGTATGACCATATGTCATGTCCTTGTCGAGTTATGGATAAAGTCTCGTTTTGCGTTGAGCAGAAGGTATATAAACATACGATGAAAATTTCATGTACCGAAAATCCACAGGATCCTGTCCTATACTTGCTTTTAATAGTGGTCTACATCCTTCGGCAGCCTCGCTAAATCAATTTTGTTAATTACTTGCCTATGCATTCACTCACAATTCGTTTCCAAAATTGATTATTGTTTCATATCAAATTTCTATAAATACGACTTTAGGCCATGATCCGATTTTGACTGCCTTCTGTCGGATTTATAGCTCAAACAGTCACCGATATTTCTCCCTTCCGTACTTACCGACTGTATCAAACCAAATTAGTCAAAAGTTATGCCCGTAGTTGCAACGTAGAAATCAGTTGTTCTCGTTTGTTTTCAATTCACTGTGATTTTGAGTTATTTCTAGAATATTTTAAATATATTCAAGTTCATTTTTTAATTACTACAAAATATCGATTTTGGCAACCCTGCGTTGCAAGACAATTGCTCTCTCACTCTCAGCTCACTCGTTTCTACGGAAAAAATCCAATATTCGCGGATATCCTACCTTACGATCTGTGGAGGCGGACGGTAGAAGCGGTGGTGACTGTTCATTTACATTGCGCTCTCATAAGATAGATCGTATCAGCTGATTCGGTCCCCGGTTTTGCGTCGGTGACTGTTTGTGCCATTACGATAGGACAAAGTAACAGTGAAATCAGTCTGCAATCAGCATTTGACTGAATAGGTTGGTGCGAACCGAGGTGCACATTTTATGTATGAAATTTTTCTAATTCTTACTTGATAAAATATCATATAGTACCTTTTATTAAATACCAAATAGTCCAACTATAATGTAATTGCCACTCAACCTGAAATAATAATAATAGACCCGCTCATTTGACTGACTGGCAAACAGATTGATTATTTTTGATCGCTGATTATTTTTGTCACACAGTAAACGCAACAAATGTCTAATAATTTTAATAGGGTCGTTCTATGACACAATAACTTAAAGAACAGCAGCTTCGATTTTTTTTACTTATCAGCAGCTTCGATTTTTTTACTTATAGCGTATTTATGCAATTTTGGATAGTAAACGAAAACCGGTGCCAAAAACTAAGAAGAACAGTTAACATTATACGTGACTCAAAACGTCACTTCGCTAATCAATTCATCAACACAAAGTCAATCATATAGTAGTCGAAATGTCCTCAGTGAGCTCATGAGAGCGCATGAACTCAAACAAATAAATAACACAAAACAAAGGAATCTCTGCATTGCATAGATACGACGAAAAATTTTAAAGCAAAGTTTCTGTAACAATAAGGTTCGTGTTTGGTCGGACCAGAAAGGGGGCCTGCACTATGAAAACAGTATTAGTTCAACGCATTAAAATGGGTTTACAAGATTTGGATATTTTCGGATACAATTAACAATTTTTGATTACTCCTTTGCTCCTTTCGATGCAGAACGCTTATAAAATTTTACGCTTCTTCACATTTAGCGGCCCATAATCGAGAGATTGGTATAGTGGGAATTTCATTCGATTAAATTTATTTTACAGTAAAAGGGGAAATAACTGGTCCATTCTTTTATTGCTCTACAATTGTGGGCGTACATATAATATTTCTGAAGAATATATAAATGGTAATAACATAATAATATTCACAAAAATATAGTGTTATTATTATCTTCATATATCCTACATAAAAAAGACATAACTTTATGAAAATGTGCATTGTAAAATGAAAATGAAATTATTACATATGTATTAAAGCTTGATAAGCAAAGATATGTTTAAATATAGAAAGCCAATAATGTTGTATGATATATTAAATAGGAAAATAAAATCATTAATTAGAAAATGGAAGCAAATAGAAAATTTTATGAACTCAATAAATCATTTAAAATGAGAAGTGAGATACAAATGCATCACATACGCTTGGATGAACGCAACCAATAACCATATGCAAAATTTCACTAATAAATCAATAACTCTTTAAAAACAAAAGTGCCTAAAATAATTCAGCAAATTCGCAATTTTTTATGATACTTAAAACTTTTATGAATATTTGTCAGTTTTTAGAATAATAGATAGAATAAAATAAACCGCAATGGAAATCCACAATACCATGTGTAAAATTCGACCATGTTTAGTCTGAAGTCTAATATAGTATTGAAAAAGTATGGAAAGTTTTTATAACCTTAACGATTACTTAAGGGTATAGAAAACTTGGCACAAGGTAATATGTATCAAGTGCATATGTATGTATACATAAATAAATATTTGTATGCAGGCGATGTATATATATAAATATAAATATATATATATATTTGCATGTATTTAATTAGACTGTCTTCAACAGCAAATATTTTTTAAAATTGAAATGAAACATTAACACATAAGTCAATATCTAAAAAGGTTTATGGAATTTACGGACATATACACATATAAATACCTAAATTCTTATGGGCGTAATAATAACATATAATATATTGTGCTAGTAAAATAATATTTATGGTATTATGGTCTATTACATAGGACTTGTTTTCTCTGAAAGTAATTTTTAAATACTCAGTAATATAATATGAATTAAATAATAATATTTTACAGGTTTACAAATCAAACTTATATGGTTACAAAAAATGCTTATGTACTAGCAAGTGCATAAGACAATAAAATATTTACTTATTATAAAATATATTAAAATATTAAGCAAACTTGTTTAAGAAATAGCAGTGAATTTATTTTTGGATATACATACTTTCAATTCAATATATTTATTTGCAAAAGATAAGTTATACTTTTGTTTGGCCACCAAAATTGTTTTGAGCACTTCAGATTGCAAGGCACATAAATTTGTATTTTTATTTTTTAAGATTTAGATATTTTTTAAATTAAGACGATGTTATAAAAAGGTTATTATATGTCCATAAATACTTATTACTTACTTGAATATTGTGGAAATGTTGAATAAATTAGTTTTGTGAAGATTTTATATTAAATGTACTATAATAAGATTTCTTAATGACTAGTAATCGAATTATTCAATAATGACTTCAAAATTCACTAATATGGAGTATGGAATTCATATGTTTTGCTAATCAAGCATTTTTCAAACTATGCTCTGGAATTCAATTAGTAATAATATCATATAAAAGTTTTTTTTTTATTGTACTAATAAACAATTTAAAGTTAAATAAAAGCGTTTCAGCGAATTTAACAAATAGTTATGTTTAGTTTTCAATGCGAAAGCATTGCCTCGGGATTAAAGAGCTTTGGTAAGTAGATATAGCCGCCCAAGTGGATTAAATATATATAAATAACTACACATTTCAGTTATCTCAGCTAAATTAAATAGCAAATTTGCGCATTTCCAGATAACACTATGGCGAGGAAGTGGCTAACAGCCCCCCTGTAATGTTTTGAATCTACTAATAACGCAGTAATGATAAATATAGAAACACGGTTGATATATGCACAGTAATACTATAATACGAAAAAGATATAATGAAAACAAGAAAAAACTTTAACTTTGGTTGCGCCAAACCAGAATACCCTTCGCAAATAAAAAAGTTTTCATACAAGAAATTGATTTTGGTGAGTCTGTTATACTAAAGTGATCCAATCTAAAAAGATTTTCCGGAGATTGTACCGTTGCCTGGAATAATATTCTATATAATAAGATTTTTATCATTCAGTTTGTATGGCAGCTATATGCTATTGTGGCCTGATATCGGCGGTTCCGACAAATGAGCAGCTTCTTGGAGAGAAAGGAATGTGTGCAAAATTTCATATCAATATCTCAAAAACTGATGAACTAGTGGGCGTATATACAGACTGACAGACGGACATAGCGAAATTGATTCGGCTTGTCACGCTGATGATTTATATACACATTTTATAGGGTCCCCGATGTTTCCTTCTGGGTGTTACAAACTTCGCTACACTGTTCAGGGCATAAATAGTCACTCCTATTTATATTATCCATTACAACCTGAATATATATTTCTTCAAAAAAGTTTGCAAACTAATCCATATTTTGATAATATCGAAACTTAATTTTTTTCTGTTTGAAAATGGAAACAAGTAAGGGAGCATCAACAAACACATTTTATTTAATGACAAGTGTGCAAGTGTGCACTATAAAATCGGATAACCAAGTAAATAATTCCTTAAATGCGGCAAACTTTGCAGTTGATATTTCATAAAGTGAGTGAGATACATTTGTATGTACATTGTTCATTAAATACATGTATATAATATATTTGAATCTAAGCAATTTCATCACCAAATTTAGTCAACAATTAATAACATTCTTTTAAGTTTCTATAAGTATCCGTCTGATTATTCAATAAATTTTGCACGGCCTACTGATTTTAAAATACTTTAAATTGTTTCTATAGAGATAATATCACATCTCGAAGCAATCAAGCATTTCTTTTGAAAAAAAATTTAAGGAAATTCATGAACATAAAGCAAATGTATAGCTAACAATCCAAATACTTCATTAATAAATCTTAATTATTTTATTGTACAAAACAATTAAGTCAAACACTGTATGTGAAAGTTTGGATATACATTTTCTGTACGATATTTTTTAAACACGAAAACTTCAACACTTTTTTTTCTTATCAAAGAGAGCTCCGTCCTAAGTTGACCCATCCCTTTTAATTGAGCATAAAAGTTAATAAATCTGAAGGAAAGTCTTCTTTCCTCCTAAATAAATATTACAATACAAAGTAAACTTCTGTTATTTTTGCAACCGACAACGTATCGGTTATGTGATATTGCTTCGGGGATTAGAATCGATTATTACGAGTAAATAAGCGACCGAGAAACCTATGAACTGTAATTTTTTCTGTTGATAAAAGAGAATTCTGATCTTGTTGCTCAGATGAAAGGGCGGCATTCCGGTATCGTAACATCATTTGTCTTGCTTATCTACATGTGAGCACATATTATATATGTATGTACATATACTTGTTTTGTTATTCGAAATGTAGCCTTATCAATGAACTGCCTCCTTAATTGAAATCGGCAACCAAGCAAATTAATTTAAAATTAATCTGTTACTTAATTCCCTCTTTCTTAACTTATATTTCCTTCTTGTAAGTAGTAACATATGTACATAAATGCAAACACTACCTGATTTTTGTTTATAAGTAATTTCTAGATTAGTGTCCAGTAGTCCCGAAAATTGTTTCTGTTAACTATTGTTAACTTATATAGAAACAGCATGTAGTTAACTAATAAATATTTGTATATGAAAGTTTAACGCTTTAAGCAGGCTGTTTTGGACCATAATTGCTTAGTTAACAAAGCATGTACTGATGCCAAATTCTGTTTCTGGACCATATCAAAAAAGCCTTTTCTAATAGCTCTTGGCAGGCAATGGTAAACCTCCTAAATTTTCTTCAGTGGTGTAAGAGCGAATTGCAAACGTATCAATGGCACGTATGGTTAAAGTTCCTCAGTGGCGGATCCAAAATTTCTTTCTGGGGGTTTTTCCTTCCAACATATTTCAGATATTGATGTTACTTTGTAAATTCTTCTGAATTTGAATTAAAATCTCCGATTTAGGAGGACACCCAAAACCCCCCGTTGATCCGCCACAGAAGTTCCTACATGTAATACATAGTTCTTATGATAAATGCATCCTAAAGCTATGTAAGGAAATTCTTAGAATATGGTCGTGTTAAATTTCAATAAAATACCATGAACTGTATTAACATGAAAATAACTTGACAATAAAAAAATTGTTATTTATTATATATCGACAAGTTTTTTAATATATGTTGTAAATTCAAGCTGGTGTCATAAATAAATAAACACTCTTATTTAAGCTAGAGTGCAAACATTGATTAGAAATGGTTTCAAAAAAGCAAATACATTGGCATTTTAAACTACATTTTTAAAAATTTGATTTCCATAGCTCTGTGAGCCTATGTATTTAAATGCATTTGTGATTTGAAATATTATATTTGTTTTAACTTATTTCAAAGGATCAATGACCATGAATTGCGGTTGTAAAATGAGACGTTTCTGAGAATTAAAGGAATTATAAGGTATAGCTATATGTATAATCCATGACAACGAAAAAACGTATCTTCGGGACTCTGAAATTAGTAGTTTTTATGTTAACAACGTAAGTATAAAAATATAAAACAATGTATAAATATAAAATAAAAATACCTTTTCCCTTATACAAGTCCTTGATTGATGGTCTCAATATAGTGTCTATGTAATACCAACAGGAGACATGTACACATGTATATAACACATTTTCAAGCAAATATTGATCTCATGGAGTACCAACTCGTGTAAAAAATTACCCTGCCGAAAAATGCATTGCTAGAAAATCAGTTTAATTCTTAAATAATAAATATTGGGCCCAATTCTTTAATTGTAAGAAAATGTAAACCTTTACCTCGTTGCAAATTTTTAACAATAGTGCTATCCGATCTCTCGATTCCATTCGATTATCTGCAAAGAGGCTTGATAAAGAACAAGATAAAGTAATAAGTGTAAAGAAACTCCTAAGTTCCAATTAACTGAATTTCCTTAGAAGGTTGCGATGTTCGCATATATATTATATAATATTATACATGTGTGCTATATATTCTTACATGTGATTATAAAAAAACCTCCGATCATACATAGGCCTAATTTTTAGTGCTCAACTTTTTCAAGACTTTACAGTGAGAGTTTGAAATTTTAGTAAGTGACCAAAGGCATACATTTGATACAAATTATAAATGTAGTTGCGTCTGTGTGTATGTAGAATATTGTCGCAAAATTTTTTTTTCCCTCATAAAGTCATGGCTGCTTGAACATACTTTTATATGCACATATTTACATACCCAGCAGTTTATCAGAAAATAAGCAAGTTTCTAATTAAAAATCCACAAAAGTTTCAAGATTATATTAAATATAGAACCATTGTCGAACTGTTATCAGACTTGTCAGATGATCGAAATCTAACAATTGTATATAAAGGAGGCAATCGGCTGACTAGTTGGGCTTGTGATTCATACTAGTAACAAAGTATTCTATATCTATTCAATTTTACTGCAGGGTATTTACATATACATTTATATATGTGATATGATGATAGAATAATACTTGTGCCTGTATAGTAAAGCACTAACTTTAATTTGGTATAAGTGGAAGCAATAACGTATGTGTGTATATGCAATGCAGTGTTGTTATGTGCATTCTACACATTTACTCACATATTATCATATGTCATATCGAATCGAGAGGCACCCACTAGTCATAGCACAGCCCTAAGATTTGACCCCTAGTAAGGGAAATATATAAAAAATTATGCTTGTGTGTGTAATACACACAAACACATTCATAAATGTCAACATAAAAATATAAATGTTTGTATTAATCATAGTGGCCTCAGATTGAGACGCTCACACAATCACGGGCTCATAAGGCAAACGCCGGCTCTAATTCTTTAACTTCAAAATTATATTTACTGAGGTATTTTTTTATATTTATTATTAAAATGTTTTCTGCGATGCAGAAAGTCTATATAAGGGATACAAAATGACAAAGTTATGACTTACTTTCAAGTTGTCGTTGCATCCGGTGCCGGTAGGAGTATTCGCACTAAAATTTGCTTAAAACCGAGAATAATCTGAATGAAAAAAATCTGAAAACAGTCTAAAATTAAAATTAAATTAATTTCGAAGGTACATACAAATATTTATGAATCTGAATGGTTTGTCGTGATCGTTTGTCGTGTTGGCAAAATAATAACATTTTTGAATTCTTGAAATCTTTTCATAATTATTCTTTTTTGTGTTCTTTAATGATCAGCAACGAAGATTAAGCTGAAATTTTCAATATGAAAAAAACAATGTGAAAGAGCTATTCATCAAAATATGTCAAATTAAAGTTTAAAAAATTAATTAAATTATAAATATAAATAATAAATAAATAAAAATTAATTAATTGTGTTATTTAAAAATCGTTAAGTGTTCAAAACAAAAGTTATATAATATATATTCAGTGAATGCAACAAAGAAAGTAATATTTTAAAATATTTATTTAAAATTTGTATCTACAAAAGCGCCAATACTTATTTAAATTTATTTCAAATATAGGACTTGGACAATGCGAGCGGTTATTCCTGGCCTTCTTAAGGCAGTCTCATTTTGTATTTTAGTCATTAATGCTGCAAAAGCAGGTAAGTTAAATCCACATAAAGCAACACATAAGATGCACAATTTCAAACATATGTGTTTTTGAAATTCAAACATATCTTAATACGAATTAATTAAAAGAAAATGTAAATAACAAATTTTGGGTTAGGCAAGATTTATATGAATAGTTCAATACTAACCACCGTTAATTCAGTCTATTGTAAACTGTACTCTTGAACTAGTTGTAATTCCTATGGTCGTATATGTATATCATATATAATATTACAGGGCTTTGAGTATGTTTATTCAGAGCTTTAAGCGAATTTTTTTTATTGCATTCGACTGCATATTCAACATACGTTCTATAATACATATAATAAAAAACAACCGAATAAATTTGGGATAATACAAATTTTAAAGGAAACAACAAATCCTGCATTACAAGTACATTCAAATTTCATAAGATGTGTATGCTATCTTTTGTGGAACGGATTTAACATTACCCCATATCTGAAATAAACTTAATATCAACCTTTCGTATAAAGAGCTGCGTAATAATTGGAAAAACCTTGGCGTAAAAGATAAAATAAGACTGGGTGTGCAGCACAGTATAGTTAACAGTTACATTATGGATGCATACTCACAATTGGATTGGATCATATAAGATGAGAGAATTCCAGATCCGCTTAAGTTTTTTAAAATTGCTTTTGATTTACATAACATAATAGGCACCTGCACCCATGTCCCAAACGTTATAAATATCCTCTTATTCTTATAAATGCGCACGCATTTCCCAGCTTCTCTGCTTTCACATGTGCACAACACAGAGTTCGTCTGTCATTGATCACATACCATGCGAGCACCAATCACAAATCAGTATACATACAGACGCTACAGTATGTTTAACAATGAATGGAAAATCGATTTTTTAAACTATATTTTAAATAAAAACAAGTAAGGAAGGGCTAAGTTCGGATGTAACCGAACATTTTATACTCTCGCAAAGTCAAATGGTATACTCGTTTGAGTTTTCTTTGTGGATTGACTGATATTTTCGGTAGAAGGTCAACTATAGGCAATGGGGTCCATATATTTAGTACTTAGGGGTTTGAACAGTTTTGGTTCGATTTAGACAATTTTTGGTCTGGTGGCATACTTTAATTGCATTATTCACGCAAAGTTTTACCCCGATATAATCATTGTTACCTGATTTGCATAGTGGAAAGTGAAAGAATCAGATGGAATTGAAAATGGTGTTACATGGGAAGTAAGCGTGGTTGTAGTCCGATTTCGCCCATTTTCGCACTATGACATAGAAACATGAAAAGAACGTGCACCGAATTTGGTTGAAATCGGTTGAGCAGATCTCAAGATATGGGTTTTCACCTAAAAGTGGGCTGTGCCACGCCCACTGACTAATTTTGAACGCGGTTCCTATAAAGCCAATTTATACCATCTCAGAGATAAAATTTAATGTCTCTGGCGTGTTTAGTGCTTGATTTATCGCGCTTTTAGTAGTTTTTAATAGTACCGTTATATGGGGAGTGGGCGGAGTTGCCACCCGATTTCAACTATTTTCACACCGTCAATAGAAGTGCTAAAAACATTTGCTTCTAGTGAATTTTGTTATTATAGCATTAGCGGTTTAGGAGATATGCACATTAAACCTATTAGAGACGGGACCACGCCCACTTTTTTTAAAAAAGGGTTAACTGCAGATGCCCCTCCCTAATGTGATCCTGTGTACTAAATAACAGTCTTGTATCTTATTGCGGAGTTTAGTTATGGCAAGTTATTTGTTTTTGATTAATGGCGTTTTGTGGGCGTGGCAGTGGTCCGATTACGCCCATCTGCAATACCAACCGTCTCACGTACCAAGAAACATGTCTACTAAGTTTCATAAAGATATCTCAATTTTTACTCAAGTTAGAGCTTGCACGGACGGACGGACGGACGGACAGACAGTCACCCGGATTTCAATTCGTCTCTTCATCCTGATCATTTATATATATATAACCCTATATCTAACTCGATTAGTTTTAGGTGATACAAACAACCGTTAGGTGAACAAAACTATTATACTCTGTAGCAACAGGTTGCGAGAGTATAAAAAAATTCATAAATTTTATATTTACATTTTACTATTACTATTTCCGAGTTCGAAGTGTATACATATATAAATGAACTAAATCTTTACTCATAAAAATTAAAAAGTAATGAATGCTACTGAACTGAAATCATATATGAAATATGCTGGCGTAATAAACGTTACAATCAGAATCCTGTGCTCAACCCCTGTGTAAAATAGCAGATTGCATCCCTCCCGGCTTAAATCTTAAGCTTGTTAAAAATCTACATTTTCTTCCGTCTTTCACCAAAATTAAAAACTACAACTTTCAACTTGATACAAATAGCATTTGAGCATTGTCTAGCCCATAAAACACTCATCAATCAATTAAGCTATATAATAACCTGTGTGTTTTTAAAAGTGGATAATATAATGACTTTATAAGAAAACTGGTAATAAAAATTATGATGTGGAAAGTAAGCTTAGAAGAATTATCCATAAATTTTTCCTAATATTTAATGAATTTGACATCAAATACTATCTCCAGAATTTAATATGTTTTTTCTTTCTTTTCCTACAGTAGATATTTGCAAAAGAGGATGCCCTCAATGTAAGTACTCACATACCTACAATAGCTAAGCTAATAGTACTTTTGAAATTTCGAGATAAGGGTATGTTGGCTAATTATAATGTATATATATTTACCGTTTCTCGTTTAGCTGATGGTGAAACCCTAAAATTTCAATCAGGCCATCTTTATGAATACAATTTCGATTCAATATTGGAAGTTGCCCTTGGCACGGACTCAACTACAGCTGCAGATGATACAAGCTTAAAGTTGATCGGAACAGCTAAGGTTTTCGCTGAGGGCAATTGCGGATATACGTTGCAACTTAGTGCAGTCAAAGTTTCAGCTACCAAAGAAGCCACCGAAAAGAAGATAGTACAGAACATTCAGAAGCCTATACATTTTACTCTGGTGAATGGAAAAGTGGAGCCACAATTGTGTTCCGATCCCAATGATAACCAATATGCTATAAATATCAAACGAGCCATTATTTCTTTGTTACAATCTAATACAGAGGATGGTACAGAAGTCGACGTTTTTGGCCAGTGTACCACTCACACATCGGTATCGAATGTTGCAGGGTCACAGGTTGTAACCAAAGTACGTGATCTAAATCATTGCAGCTACCGAGAGAATACTCGCAGTAGCTTAATACATGGGGTTGTCAACCAGGCTGCCGGAGTCAAATCTGCCCAACTTTTTAAGGCTAGCTATGTTAAAGAATCAATAATATTGGATGGTGTTGTTGAAAGTGTTCATTTGGTTGAAGATTATAACTTTGGTGTTGCCGAAAATGATGTGAACAGCATACGAGGAAAAGTTATTACAAATTTGAAAATAAAAAATGTAGCGGGATTAATTTCTGTCGCCCCACAAACGGGAAACCATGGTGTTTCGATAATTTTTCAAAAACCTGAAGTATACGCTACCAAAAATTTAGCAGCTTTAAAAACGGCTTTAACACAATTAGTCATTTCACTCGATTCATATGTAAAGAAGGATAGTGCCAAAGGCTTTATTGAACTTATACATTTGATGCGCAATGCTGACACAGATACTTTGCTTGAATTGGCTGTTGTTCCCCACCCGAATACCGTTTTGACCCGCAAAGTCTATCTAGATGCTTTATTCCATACTGCCACTTCTGAATCGGCCAAGGCTATATTCAAGCAATTTAACAAAATGAATGAGCAAGAAAAGCTTATTGCCATCATTTCATTAAACCTTATTCAAACGGTGGACAAAGATACTTTAAATCAAGCAATTACCTTGCTGACACCAACTGCATCAAAACACGTATATTTATCAATTGGTTCATTGGTTTCGAAATACTGTCAATCTAAAGCATGCGTGCAAGGAGACTTAGACGTTATTACAAAAAAATTTGTTGATAATTTAAAACACTGCAAAGCTAACACAAGGAAAGATGAAGATCGTATTGTAAATGTATTGAAAGGAATCGCTAATATGAAACTTACAGCTAGCAATTCTGTTCCTGCCTTAGCTGAGTGTGCTTCACCTGGGCGCTCAAATAGAATACGTGTAGCAGCTCTACAGGCTTTCTCCTCAGCCAACTGCGATTCAGTACTGACACAAAAAGCTTTAGCTTTACTCCGCGATCGAAACGAAGATTCTGAGCTAAGAATTGAATCATATTTAGCAGCTATTGAGTGCCCAAACGCAAATGTGGCCATCGAAATCGCAGATATTGTCAATTCAGAAGAAGTTCATCAAGTTGGTGGTTTCATTGCATCAAGTCTTAGAGCGATACGCGATTCAACAGACGATCACCGTGCCCATCAGCGTTATCATTTAGGTAACATTCGTATTACTAAGCATTTCGCAAAGGATCTAAGGCGATACAGTTACAATGATGAAATATCTTATAAAGTTGATGCCCTTGGCATTAGTGCAAGTTCAGACTACAAACTAATATACTCTCAACATGGATTCCTACCCCGTTCAGCTACATTAAATGTTACTGCAGAAATTTTCGGAACTAATTTCAATGTTTTCGAAGTTAGCGCAAGACAAGAAAATTTAGAGAATATTCTGGAATATTATATTGGACCTAAAGGCTTGCTTAATAAAGATTTTGAGGAAATAATGAAAATGGTCGAAGAGGTGGGCACTTCTGGTGATAGGACTCGTCGCTCAATTGCTGATGACACATCAAAATTCTCAAGGAAATACAAAACATACGGCAGCAAGAACATTCAGGATGTCAACCTTGACTTATCGCTAAAATTCTTCGGCTCTGAAATGTTTTTCCTTAGTTTAGGTGATCAAATACCTAGTTCATTAGATGATATTATCAAATGTGTTTCTTCAACATTTGATAATTTGAAAAAGGAATTATTATCGTTTAGCAAAGAGTACACTTTATATGATCTGTTTCTTGATATAAATGCTATATATCCCACTGGTCTCGGTATTCCTCTCGAGCTGAATACACAAGGTTTCACAGCCAATAAATTAGAATTCGGAATCAGTTTAGATATTGACAGTGTCATTGAACAGAACTATCTAGCCACTAAATATCAAGTTAAGCTTGTGCCAAGCGTTGATGTTAGTTTGAAATTACAACTTGGCTTTAACGCATATGCCTTAGCAACAGGCCTTCAAGTTGAATTGAATCTTCATTCAGCCTCCGGTGCTGACGTGAAATTCGACCTCACAAATGAGGGAAATGCCTTTAATGTAGACATACAGTTGCCACGAAATGAGTTGGAATTAATAAATGTAAATGTTAACCCCGGATTTTATATCACGGAACTTGATAAGCCAACAAAGGTGATTGCTTCAAAAAATAATAACAAACAGAATCCTGATAACTATCAAATGTGCTTTAACCAATTAGACATTATTGGAATTAATTTATGTATCGATGCGGCTGGTATTGCAATTGGCAAAGAAGATTCATCGAATTCTGCTGATATTTACAGTTTAATACATCCAGTTAGGTTAAGCGTCTACACAGAAGTAGAGAAGAATTACAATCTGCGTGGTTCATATATAGCACATACGAATAGTGGAAGTCAAGAATGGAAATTAGAGTTGAATACTCCAGGATCACGAGAACCCCATACAGCTACCACTACCTTTGAGGTTGGAACAAATCCTCGTATTTATACCAGATTAGCATTTGATACTCCTATATATCACTTTGCTCTTGAGTCAGGATTTAATAATGATAATCAGGAATTAGTATTTTTTGCTCAATATGAAGACAATGACAAAGTTAACCGAAACCGAATTGGTTTCCTCCGTAACGGCAATGAATATCGTCCCGTTGTTGAGATACAGGATAAAAATGGTGTTTCTAATGAAATTTTCGGTTATCGTCTGGATGGAAAAGTTTTTTTGCAGAAAACTGGTGACAGGCAAGCCAAATACATTTTCGAAAATTTACAAGTATCAAATAAACAAAATGATCGTGTTGTTCTAAATGGATGGAGTGAATTGGGACCATCCTGGTTAAACAACGAGTTACGAGTAGGTATTGGAAAGGATTTATACCTCGTCAAAAGCAACTTTAAAGTAGATAAGGGTGTCTATGATATTGGATTTTTCACAAACGATGAACGATCACCTCACAACGTCTATGGAGCCTCTGCTCATGTTGAATTAGCCGAACAAGTTTTCGTTGTACAATTGGTTGGTGCAGCTGCGTCTTGGAAAGTAGATATCAATAATGAAGTACAGTACACTATTTCTGAAGGTTCCAAGGATCTTACATCCAGCAGCTTTAAACATGATATAGCTCTTAAAAATAAAAATAATATTGTTGGTCAATTTAAATTGAATGGGCAGACCTCTGGTGGAAACAAATTGGATCTTGAAACAGAATTAATACGAGACAAAAGAGTTGCTGCCATTTCCGTAAAATATGATGGAAGACGACATACAAAAGGTGACTATAATCTTGAGGTTCACGGAAAATATAACAAACATTTTGCTGATATTATTGCCAAGTGCGACTTAAACGGCAATCGTTTTGTTATCGATAACTCTTTGGCAACCAGCTGGGGTACATCTGTTACCTTAAAAGGTGAAATAGGACAACGTTACTCTGCTCAGGATATATATATTGATGTTCACGGAGTAGCTCAATTCAACAAGAAGGACAAGCAGCTTCAATGGATTCTCAAAGTCATCGGTGCACCTGAAAAGACTAATAGTGAGTTAAAAATGTCACGGGATAATGTAGACATTTTGAAATACAGTGGAGAAGTGCAGCATCCACAGGATAAAATATCAGGTGGTAAAATCAATATATCTGCCAAAAATTTAGGGACTTTAAGAGGCGACTATAAAATAGCCAAAAATGGCAAAGGCGAAGCTAATGTAGCAATTGAAACATTGAAATCTGAACAAAAACACAAAGTTAATATAAACTCGAAATTTCAAGTTCAAGCACCCAAATATGAATTAGAAACCACCATTATTTTCGACGGTGAAAAGAAAATCTTCCTTAAGACGGAAAATTATTTAGATAAAGTGAAATTCGTAACCAAGAATTTGGCAGAGATTTCAAACAAAAAGGCTTCTTTCGATGCTAATGTCGGTGTTAAAGGAGATTGGCGCTCCAATGGAGAATTACAAGGAAACTTCGTTTTTACTATCCCCACCGGTAGTGTCGTAGACGGTAATGTTAAACGTAAAATTTCTACAAACAGTAAAACAGGCTACATACATGGGGATCTAGATGTACAAGTAAGCGAGACTCACGGCGGTAACAAACGTACTTTGGCTTACTCATCGCGTGTCGACAAATTCAATTTAAAAACAAAAGAAATCTCACAAAAGTCTCAGCTGACCTACACCGATATTGATAGCAAAAAATTGGAATTGACTGCTGATATTAAACATTTACCAAAAGATCAAAGCAAATTTATAGATATTAAATCCAACCTACGAGGTGATATACTCAGTATTCCTGTCGATGCCAACTTCGTAGTTGATGAATATGACAAAAAACACGCCGTATTCCGAATTGACATAAAGTCTGGAGGTGCATTTAATTATAATGTTAATGGTAAATATAATTTGGGTGGTATCGACAGTCCTGCAACTTTCGAAGTTCAGTGTAATATCCAATTGCCAAAAAGTACCATCCAATCAATTCAATTCAGTTCAAATGGTAAACTGGTCCAGCCTTCTTATAACAGCGGCACCTATATAATTGAACTGCATGTAGACGAACGTTTCGGCGATAATCAATTCTTACGCTTGAACACCATTTCGAAAGGTTCTCAAAAACAAGGAGCATATACTTTTGATTTGGAAACTAAGGAAATGCATGGACCATTAAAATTAGAGGGTACTTATCAACATGAGCATCAGGGAGATCTCAAAGATGATACTGCTAGCGGAAAAGAGCGGTATTCATTTAACTTTAACTATAATAATAACTTCGTTAAAACTGCCGCTGATCTTACTTATGTGGGGGTTGATACAGCTGTAGCGCATTATACATTGGACAGTAGTTTCGAATCAGCCAAAAATATTGATGTGGACTTACGTCTTCAAAAACTTGAAGTTGATGCATATGAGCTTAAGTGTCAGGCAAAGAGTGGTAATAATTTATATGCATCAGTTTCTAAAATTTATCAGTCACATTATAAAAAAGGACTTGATATACAAGTATCACTTCCAAATGGTAGTCCAATAGTTATTGTTGGTATCTTTGAAATCCTGGGTGAACACAAAATTAAAATTACAGTAGACGTTCAAAACGTCATTGGTTTAGATTTTACATCTAACGTCGAGTCATCACATCAAGCTATAGAGAATTTCTTTGTTAAAGCCAATTGGAACTCTGCAAAATTAAACCTTGAGAGCTATAATCTAGATTTGCGGTCACAAGATAAGTCCCTAATTTTCAATTTGAAAAATGCCAAAGGAGTAATTTTTGATGGCAGCGCTACATACACTCAAAAGAAGGAGAAGAACAAAACCTTTATCGAAGGCCAAGGACAAATGCAATACCATGGGAAAACACAAAAGGCAAATTTCCGTCTCATACATCACATCTTTGACATCAACGTAGACAAAGAAGTTGGCTTTTCGTACGCTCTAGATGGCAACTTTGGGCCCAAGAAAGGATTGTCCACCTTAAAGATAACGAATAAAGGAGTTGATGCCGAATTATCAATATGCGAAGATAAGAAACAATGCACAAATGTGCAGTTGCAATCGATTGTATCACAAAATAGTCAAGAAATCGATTCATCACAAAATTCATTACTAATTGTTATTGATTTGCGTGAACTTGGTTATCCATACGAATTTGAATTCCAATCAAAGGCTATTCGTCAAGGACTCAAGTTGCACTATAGCTTAGAATCGCAGATTGTTTCAAATAATAACTTGAAATATATGTTAGTTGCTGATATCCAGCCAACAAATTCTAACGTTCAATTAAAATTACCTCATAGAGAACTCTTACTAGAGGTGAAGCAGCAATTCCCAGAACAGGGGAAATTTTTTGGACATTATGAAAATTCTCTAGCCTTCTTCTTTGACAAAACGAATAAACCAAATGACGTCACACGTATTAAAGCTGTTGCAGATATAACTGGTAACGAACTCACGGCTATAAATTTTATTAGTGAAATCAAATTTGAACATCCAACAATTCGCCCATTGGCAATTTCGAGCAAAGTTGACGCTAACCGCCAGCAACAAAGTGTAAACAGTGAAATCGTTTTCGATATATTCCGCTTACCCGAGCAAAAGATCATAGGTTCCTTTCGAACGAAAAACACGCACCAAGGAAACAGCTTTAATATTACAACTTTCGAATCGCTATACTCCAAAGGCCTAGGATTTAATTACGAATTCAGCGGCCATACCGCACTTAATGTAGACTTGCAAATATTCAACTCAGCGGCAACTTTACATAGTGGTGCCTCAGATTTGAAGGTCTCAGCGAATGTCTACGCCACAAAAGATCACTGTGATTTGGCCGTTTATATTCTAAATGAGCCCATATTACAGGTCGCTGCCGACTACAATCACCAGAAATACGCTTTTAATACTAACAGTAAATTGCAACTTTTCAGCCAAGCTCCGATCGAGCTCATAACCGATTTTCAACCAACGGAAATGAAATTTATTGCTAAACGTAAAGGTCTTATTGATCTCAACGCCGATGTAACAAAATCGATGCCAATATCACTCTGAACTGCAGTTTTCTTGACGTTTTTGGCATCTTTCCGTCTAATGTAGCAATCAAAACGAGAGTTAAACCCTAAAAATGAGATTTATTATTCTTAGTCATATCTTTATATTAATCTGTAGATAGATTTTGTGAAACTTTNNNNTTTTTTTAATTTAATACACAATTTGTTTTCCTAGAATGTTGTCGAATCCGAGACCAAAAAGGATACAGAAGCAACAGTTCGATAATAAAAAACAAATTCAAATATATAGGCGAAACTGCCGACCAACAAGCGAAATTATTAAAAGATAGTACAGCCGATCTTTCGCAACTGAAGAGCAACTATGAAGCGAACATCAACGAAATCGCTCATGCATTAGAGAACCATCCAGCTTTAAAACAGATCAGCGAAAGCTAGTAAGCTTTTTTTAAACCTTCTTCAAATTTGTTCTATATATCAAATTTATATATTTTCAGTAAAAAAATGTACGCTAAATTGAAAAATTGCCGGAAATTTGTCGAAGAGTGTTGCTGGATCCTATGAGAACTTATATATAATAAATCCGTTGCAGAATTTTATATAAAATTAGAATCTACACTAAGAGAAACAGTGTTGCCAGCATGGGAAGACCTGTTGGTCACCACTTCTAACCTTCTTGGCGACTTGCGCGTACAATTAGTGAATTTAATCACTGAATTAGTCCAAGAAATTTGGATTGCTTTAGAACAATATGGACCAGCACTGAAATAACGAAACTACCATCCCTTGATGAACTGCATAGTGAACTGAAAGAGCAAGTGAAAAAGTTGAGACTTGTAGCGAACGCTTTACAATTATTGAACGATCTCTTTGACCAACTGCATATTTTACCATTGACGCCAGAATCAATCGAATTCATAGAAAAATTGCGTGAATACACAGAAGCTAAGCTAACTAACAATCCAGTAAGTGATGAGCAAGTATTACAAGAACTTACAAAACTCTTGGTGAGAGCTCTACGTTCCATTTAGATTAACTTGAACGTCAACTCGCCTGTGATATTTCAGACAATATACAAGTAATTACTTCTCTACTGGGTATCACATCAGAATCGTTTGATGTTATTGATAAGCTACCAAGTATATTCCGCTTCAGTGTCTTGAATTTCTTATTAAATGAAAACTGGGAAAAGATTGTTAGCGAAAAATACCTTAAGTCATGGATTTTCTTCAATGATTTTTATCTACACGGCCACATTGCGGTCAGCATTACTCCTTCCCAGGAAGCTGCAAGTACATATTGGCTCAAGAGAGTGTTGACAATAATTTCACTGTCGTCGCACACCTTAACAATGGCAAGCTAACATTTATTACATTAACCGATCGTGACGGTGATTTCACTGAAATTTCAGATTCAGGTGCTTTAAAAATCAATGGTAAAGAAACTGAGTTCCCTCAACATTTTAATGGTATTCATGCTTGGTGTTTAGTCTACACCATCTGGTTAAATTCGGAATATGGCATTGAAATTATGTGCATTCAGGATTTGAAAATTTGCAATGTTAAAGTAGATGCATAAGCAAAACGCGTGGTCTCCTAGGCAATGGAAATGCAGAGCCATACGACGATTTAATTGAAGTAGATGGTACACCGATAACAGCAAAACCGGCACATGCAATCGCTCGTTCAGAAATTTGCTCGGAGATATTTAGTTTAGAGTCTCCCTTACCGACAGGCTATATCTTTGAAAATCTTGCACCATATCGCGCGAGGTGTGATGCCGCTATCACTGAGGCTTCCGAAAAGGGAAAAGAATCCGCAGCATGTCTAATAGCTACTGCTTATGGCTCAGCCTTGAAATTAAAAGAGATTTCAAGTCAGTTACCATCTCGTTGCTTGAAATGCGCTGGTGCTACTTGACAACGTGAATTAGGCCAGGAGTTCGCTGTTAAAATACCAAACAGTAAGGCTGATATTATTTTTGTTGTCGATCTTGACATTAATTTTTTAATGGCCCAAAGAACATTTGCTTACACTGCGTCTCACAGGAGGTGAGCCACGAAATGAGTTGAATTAATAAATTAAATGTAACCCCGGATTTATATCACGGAACTGATAAGCCAACAAAGGTGATTGCTTCAAAAATAATAACAAACAGAATCCTTGATAACTATCAAATGTGCTTTAACCAATTAGACATTATTGGAATTAATTTATGTATCGATGCGGCTGGTATTGCAATTGGCAAAGAAGATTCATCGAATTCTGCTGATATTTACAGTTTAATACATCCAGTTTAGGTTAAGCGTCTACACAGAAGTAGAGAAGAATTACAATCTGCGTGGTTCATATATTACACATACAATAGTGGAAGTCAAATGGAAATTAGAGTTGAATACTCCAGGATCACGAGAACCCCATACAGCTACCACTACCTTTGAGGTTGGAACAAATCTCGTATTTTATACCAGATTAGCATTTGATACTCCTATATATCACTTTGCTCTTGAGTCAGGATTTAATAATGATAATCAGGAATTAGTATTTTTTGCTCAATATGAACAATGACAAAGTTAACCGAACCGAATTGGTTTCCTCCGTAACGGCAATGGATATCGTCCCGTTGTTGAGATACAGGATAAAAATGGTGTTTCTAATGAAATTTTCGGTTATCGTCTGATGGAAAAGTTTTTGCAGAAAACTGGTGACAGGCAAGCAAATACATTTTCGAAAATTTACAAGTATCAAATAAACAAAATGATCGTGTTGTTCTAAATGGATGAGTGAATTGGGACCATCCTGGTTAAACAAACGAGTTACAGTAGGTATTGGAAAGGATTTATACCTCGTCAAAGCAACTTTAAAGTAGATAGGGTGTCTATGATATTGGATTTTCACAAACGATGAACGATCACTCACAACGTCTATGGAGCCTTGCTCATTTGAATTAGCCAACAAGTTTTCGTTGTACAATTGGTTGGTGCAGCTGCGTCTTGGAAAGTAGATATCAATAATGAAGTACAGTACACTATTTCTGAAGGTTCCAAGGATCTTACATAGCCAGCTTTAAACATGATATAGCTCTTAAAAAAAAATAATATTGTGGTCAATTTAATTGAATGGCAGACCTCTGGTGGAAACAAATTGGATCTTGAAACAGAATTAATACGAGACAAAAGAGTGCTGCCATTTCGTAAATATTGATGAAGACGACATTACAAAAGGTGACTATAATCTTGAGGTTCACGGAAAATATAACAAACATTTTGCTGATATTATTGCAAGTGCGACTTAACGGCAATCGTTTTGTTATCGATAACTCTTTGGCAACCAGCTGGGTACATCTGTTACCTTAAAAGGTGAAATAGACAACGTTACTCTGCTCAGGATATATATATGATGTTCACGGAGTAGCTCAATTCAACAGAAGGACAAGCAGCTCATGGATTCTCAAAGTCATCGGTGACCTGAAAAGACTAATAGTGAGTTAAAAATGTCACGGGATAATGTAGACATTTTGAAATACAGTGGAGAAGTGCAGCATCCACAGGATAAAATTCAGGTGGTAAAATCAATATATCTGCCAAATTTAGGGACTTTAAGAGGGCGACTATAAAATAGCCAAAATGGCAAAGGCGAAGCTAATGTAGCAATTGAAACATTGAAATCTGAACAAAACACAAAGTTAATATAAACTCAAATTTCAAGTTCAAGCACCAAATATGAATTAGAAACCACCAATTATTTACGGTGAAAAGAAAATCTTCCTTAAGACCGAAAATTATTTAGATAAAGTGAAATTCGAACAAGAATTTGGCAGAGATTTCAAACAAAAGGCTTCTTTCGATGCTAATGTCGGTGTTAAAGGAGATTGCGCTCCAATGGAGAATTACAAGAAACTTCGTTTTACTATCCCACCGGTAGTGTCGTAGACGGTAAGTTAAACGTAAAATTTCTACAAACAGTAAAACAGGCTACATACATGGGGATCTAGATGTACAAGTAAGCGAGACTCACGGTCGGTAACAAACGTACTTTGGCTTACTCATCGCGTGTCGACAAATTCAATTTAAAACACAAGAAATCTCACAAATCTCAGCTGACCTACACCGATTATTGATAGCAAAAAATGGAATTGACTGCTGATATTAAACATTTACCAAAATCAAAAGCAATTTATAGATATTAAATCCAACCTACGGGTGATATACTCAGTTTTGTCGATGCCAATTCGAGTTGATGAATATACAAAAAACACGCCGTATTCCGAATTGACATAAAGTCTGGAGGTGCATTTAAATAATTAATGGTAAATTAATTGGGTGGTATCGACAGTCCTGCCAACTTTCGAAGTAGTGTAATATCCAATTGCCAAAAGTACCATCCAATCAATTCAATTCAGTTCAAATGGTAAACTGGTCCAGCTTTCTATAACAGCGGCACCATATAATTGAACTGCATGTAGACGAACGTTTCGGCGATAATCAATCTTACGCTTGAACACCATTTCGAAAGGTTCTCAAAACAAGAGATATACTTTTGATTTGGAACTAAGGAAATGCATGGACCATTAAATTAGAGGGTACTTATCAACATGAGCATCAGGAGATCTCAAAGATGATACTGCTAGCGGAAAGAGCGGGTTTCATTTAACTTTAACTATAATATAACTTCGTTAAACTGCCGCTGATGTCTACTTATGTGGGTTGATACAGCTGTAGCGCATTATACATTGGACAGTAGTTTCGAATCAGCCAAAATATTGATGTGGACTTACGTCTTCAAAAACTTGAAGTTGATGCATATGAGCTTAAGTGTCAGGCAAAGAGTGGTAATATTATATGCATCAGTTTCTAAATTTATCAGTCACATTATAAAAAGGACTTATATACAAGTATCACTTCCAAATGGTAGTCCAATAGTTTTGTTGGTATCTTTGAAATCCTGGGTGAACACAAAATAAATTACAGTAGACGTTCAAAACGTCATTGGTTTAGATTTTACATCTAACGTCGAGTCATCACATCAAGCTATAGAGATTCTTTGTTAAAGCCAATGGAACTCTGCAAAATTAAACCTTGAGAGCTATAATCTAGATTTGCGGTCACAAGATAAGTCCTAATTTTCAATTTGAAAATGCCAAAGGAGTAATTTTGATGCAGCGCTACATTACACTCAAAGAAGAGAAGAACAAAACCTTTTCGAAGGCCAAGGACAAATGCAATACCATGGGAAAACACAAAGGCAATTTCCGTCTCATACATCACATCTTGACATCAACGTAGACAAAGAAGTTGGCTTTTCGTACGCTCTAGATGGCAACTTTGGGCCCAAGAAAGGATTGTCCACCTTAAAGATAACGAATAAAGGAGTTGATGCCGAATATCAATATGCGAAGATAAGAAACAATGCACAAATGTGCAGTTGCAATCGATTGTATCACAAAATAGTCAAGAAATCGATTCATCACAAAATTCATTACTAATTGTTATTGATTTGCGTGAACTTGGTTATCCATACGAATTTGAATTCCAATCAAAGCTATTCGTCAAGGACTCAATGCACTATAGCTTAGAATCGCAGATTGTTTCAAATAATAACTTGAAATATATGTTAGTTGCTGATATCCAGCCAACAAATTCTAACGTTCAATTAAAATTACCTCAAGAGAACTCTTACTAGAGGTGAAGCAGCAATTCCAGAACAGGGAAATTTTTGGACATTATGAAAATTCTTCTAGCCTTCTTCTTTGACAAAACGAATAACCAATGACGTCACACGTATTAAAGCTGTTGCAGATATAACTGGTAACGAACTCACGGCTATAAATTTATTAGTGAAATCAAATTTGAACATCCAACAATTCGCCCATTGGCAATTTCGAGCAAAGTTGACGCTAACCGCCAGCAACAAAGTGTAAACAGTGAAATCGTTTTCGATATATTCCGCTTACCGAGCAAAAGATCATAGGTTCCTTTCGAACGAAAACACGCACAAGAAACAGCTTTAATATTACAACTTCGAATCGCTATACTCCACAAAGCTAGGATTTAATTACGAATTCAGCGGCCATACCGACTTAATGTAGACTTGCAAATATTCAACTCAGCGCAACTTTACATAGTGGTGCCTCAGATTTGAAGGTCTCAGCGAATGTTCTACGCCACAAAGATCACTGTGATTTGGCCGTTTATATTCTAAATGAGCCCATTACAGGTGCTGCGATTGACTACAATCACCAGAAATACGCTTTAATACTAACAGTAAATTGCTACTTTTCAGCCAGTCTCCGATCGAGCTCATAACCGATTTTCAACCAACGCAAATGAAATTTATTGCTAAACGTAAAGGTCTTATTGATCTCAACGCCGATGTACAACTTGGCAAAGAAATTAACCTTAATTTACAAGGCACCGACAAACAATTGTTCAGGGGCCGTATTGCGCTAGATGCACCGTACTTCTTGCAGACCTCTTATTCCAGTAACAACGAAGAGATAAAAACATTTTTGGTAAATAGACATATCTACATAGACAATATTTCTTAAACGCAATTTTTTTAATTTAATACACAATTTGTTTTCCTAGAATGTTGTCGAATCTGAGACCAAAAAGGATACAGAAGCAACAGTTCAGATAATAAAAAACAAATTCAAATATATACGCGAAACTGTCGACCAACAAGCGAAATTATTAAAAGATAGTACACCCGATCTTTCGCAACTGAAGAGCAACTATGAAGCGAACATCAACGAAATCGCTCATGCATTAGAGAACGATCCAGCTTTAAAACAGATCAGCGAAAGCTAGTAAGCTTTTTTTTAAACCTTCTTCAAATTTGTTCTATATCTCAAATTTATATTTTTTCAGTAAAAAAATGTACGCTAAATTGACAAAAATTGCTGGAGATTTGTCGAAGAGTGTTGCCGAATCCTATGAGAACTTATATAAATCCGTTGCAGAATTTTATATAAAATTAGAATCTACACTAAGAGAAACAGTGTTGCCAGCATGGGAAGACCTGTTGGTCACCACTTCTAACCTTCTTGGCGACTTGCGCGTACAATTAGTGAATTTAATCACTGAATTAGTCCAAGAAATTTGGATTGCTTTAGAACAATATGGACCAGCACTGAAAAATTGGGAAAGCCATTAATGACTCATTGAAACCTTTAATTGAATCTTTCGAAGAACTTGTCAAAGCAGCAGCCGATGCAGTTAAAGACGTATTTGAGGAACTCAGTTAATATTTAACGAAACTATCATCCCTTGATGAACTGCATAGTGAACTGAAAGAGCAAGTGAAAAGTTGAGACTTGTAGAGAACGCTTTACAATTATTGAACGATCTCTTGACCACTGCATATTTTACCATTGACGCCAGAATCAATCGAATTCATAGAAAATTGCGGAATACACAGAAGCTAAGCTAACTAACAATCCAGTAAGTGATGAGCAAGTATTACAAGAACTAACAAAACTCTTGGTGAGAGCTCTACGTTCCATTTGATTAACTGAACGTCAACTCGCCTGGGATCAACTGAAATTTCAGACAATATAATTACTTCTCTTAGGTATCACATTAGAATCATTTGACGTTATTGAAACTACCAAGTATATATTCCGCTTCAGTGTCTTGAATTTCTTATTAAATGAAAACTGGGAAAAGATTGTTAGCGAAAAATACCTTAAGTCATGGATTTTCTTCAATGATTTTTATCTACACGGCCACATTGCGGATGGTCATCAAATCTTCACATTTGATGGTCAGCATTACTCCTTCCCAGCTTCCTGGCAAGTACATATTGGCTCAAGACAGTGTTGACAATAATTTTACTGTCGTCGCACACCTTAACAATGGCAAGCTTAAATTTATTACATTAACGATCGTGACGGTGATTTCCTGAAATTTCAGATCAGGTGCTTTAAAAATCAATGGTAAAGAAACTGAGTTCCTCAACATTTTAACGGTATTCATGCTTGGGTTATTCTACACCATCTGGTTAAATTCGGAATATGTGTTGAAATTATGTGCACTCAGGATTTGAAGAATTTGCAATGTTAAAGTAGATGGTCAAAGCAAAAGCGTGGTCCTAGGCAATGGAAATGCAGAGCCATACGACGAACGGATGTAATGTAGAAGAGTAGATGGATCGAATGCACCGATAACTGCAAAACCGGCACATGCAATCGCTCGTTCAGAAATTTGCTCGGAGATATTTAGTTTAGAGTCTCCCTTAACGACAGGCTATATCTTGAAATCCGCCATATCGCGCGAGGTGTGATGCCGCTTCACTGAGGCTTCCGAAAGGAAAAGAATCCGCATGTCTAATAGCTACTGCTTATGGCTCACCTTGAATATTAAAGAGATTTCCAACTCAGTTACCATCTCGTTGCTTGAAATGCGCTGGTGCTACTGGACAACGTGAATTAGGCCAGGAGTTCACTGTTAAAATACCAAACAGTAAGGCCGATATTGTTTTCGTTGTCGACCTTGACATTAATTTGACTGTGCTTCGCAACTTGGTTGCGCCTGCAATATTGGAGGTACGTGACTCACTAAAAACACGTGGTTTCACTGATGTGCAAATAGGAGTAATTGCTTATAATGAGTCTCAACTTTATCCAGCTGTGTTAACTAGTGACGGTGGAAAAATAATTATCAAGGCAATTTAGACAATGTTCACTAATGCCCAAAGAACATTTGCTTACACTGCGTCTCACAGGAGGTGGCGGATCCGAAGGTTGTCGAAATATTCAAGGGCATTGAATCACTCTTCAGAAGTATCGTACCACAATCAGACGAAAAGGCGTTCAGATTAGCACTCAATTATCCATTCCGTGCCGGATCTGCAAAGAGTATTGTTGGGGTCCGTAGCAGTACTTTGGACTTCGTCAATTTGGTAAGAATTTTTATAATAAATTAAAGAAAAAAAATACGACAATAAATAAATTTTTTCGTCTCAATTTTAAGTTCAAATTGGTACGAGCTCACTAATCCGATGCAGCCACAAATTTCAATGGGGCTTTGTTACACCTGATCGGTCCAGTTAATGACCTATCTTTGGAAAACATTCCTAAAGAGAAACTAGTCGGTAAGAAAAATAAACAATTAGTTAACAAAAATTTTGTGACTTTACGAAACCACGATGAAAGTAAAACATTTTACAAATTGTATTCATACCACGTCTTTCATCTAAACCTATAAACTAATAATGGAAATGATAATAGTAGACAAGATACACCAATAAAATAAGAGGAAAAAGTATATTCTGTCCATATCTTAAATTTTCTAATTCAAATATTATATATAAATTTATATTTGTTAAATTAGTAGTTTTATCCGAAACTGATTTAACAAATGGTGTTTTTTGATTTTGTCAGTATTGTGGAAGTATTTTACGAATGATTTCGATTCAAAAAAAGTTTCCCTTAAAAATCTATCTACGAATTAATATAAAGATATGACTAAGAATAATAAAATCTCATTTTTAGGGTTTAACTCTCGTTTGATTGCTACATTAGACGGAAAAGATGCCAAAAAACGTCAAAAACTGCAATTCGGAAATGATATTGGCATCGATTTTGTTCTCAACAATGGTGGTTGGATCTTCACAACAGAAAACTTCGATCAACTGAAACCTAATGAACAGAAAAAGGCTCTTAACCAAGTGGTAAACACGTTAGCGGATACACTTTTCAGGACAGAAATAATTAGCCAGTGTGAATGTGAAGTGGCACACGGTTTGCATGCCCAGCATCGGTGTGTAATTAAATCGTCCAATTTCTTGCCGACCAAAAAGGTCAAGGCGAACTAGATTGATGATATACTATTTAAACTCAAATCAATATCTACAAATGAAAACAATACAACTAAAAATACTGATTTCAATAAAAATAGAAGAACCAAAAGCAAAAAATTTTAATTATTTAACTCCACGAATTTTACAGCAATTAACC